CTTAATTCAAGTATTATTAGTTATATTTTGATATTAATTTTTATAGGAGCCACTACCATGCTTATGCAAGAGAAAACATAATAGCCAACAGAATAGTAAGCAAATACCTACTCCTGTAACGCAAAAAAAGAAACTGAAAACATTTTTTATGCATACTCCGCATACTGTAGCTCAAAGTATCAATTGTCTGTCTGCAAGTTGATTTACACATTTCTTTGGTTGCTAAATTAATACATTTTATTTAATTTATAAATAATGTTTTATTTTATAAATTTTTTATACTTGTGTTTCAACACTTTTAGAAATTAATTAATGTTTGGTTCTTTTGTCTTTTTGATATATCTTTATTGTTAAAAAGAGATGTTAATAAAAACTCTTTCCAGTAATTAAAGTAATATGATGACAAATAGTTCTGAAATTCTATGGATGAACTTTCAGCAATAATTTAATGATTATGATAACAGTTTAAATGATTCTTGGGTGAGGTCAGAAGTGATGGGTTGTTTCAAACCATGACTTTTTGCAGTTTTTTTTATTGTTTTGATTAAGTTTCAAACCATGACTTTTTGCAGTTTTTTTTATTGTTTTGATTAAGTATTTATTAATAACTTAGCCTAAGTTAATATACTTGTATCTTTTTATAAATGTACTATAAAAATAATGTGGTGTAATTATTTTCTTAAACCTTTAGGTTAACAAACTTTCTAAAATTGGAGGTAAAACCATTAAGACAAATACAAATACATGTGATGCAAAGGTTTGTTAAAAGTAGTTTTTAATAAAAAATCTTTTGAATCTTTTTATTATAGTTTGTTTTAAACTTGTGTTAAAAATCTGTGTAGCATATATTTTTAAATGTTTGACGAATTCTAATCAGACATAAAATAAATCTTTTTTTTTTATGTCTGATTATAATTTTTTTTGTAACTGTTTTCTCTTACTTTTGTATTTCCTTGAGCTAAAGAACAACCTTAAAGTAAAAAGGTTGATTTGTAACGCATACTTAACCTTTTTTTTTACTCTATATATACATACATATATATGTACATAAATAAACATACATATATATGTATGTATATATACATACATGTGCTTATATGAATATATTATATATATATATATATATATATATATATATATATATATATATATATATATATATATATATATATATATATATATATATATATATATATATATATATATATATATATATATATATATATATATATATATATATAATAATAATAATAGTGCAATTTAAAGTTTTTTCTATTATTTATAAAGTTGTACTTGATAAAAATAAATAAATAAAGATGAACATTTTGAATATTTATTGATTATTATGATAAATTATATAAAATATATATAAAGTATAAATATTTTGCAAAAGCACTTTTATTTGCAATAACTGCTTCATTGCATTGTGGCATGCTTGCAATTTATTTTTTATAGTTTCTGTCAACTCTGGGATATTATGCTAGATCTTGATAATCTCTTCCATAAGATCTTGCTTATTAGAAGATTTTTTTTTTCCAATCTCCTGCTTTACTATTTCCCAAATATTTTCTATGGGGTTAAGATCATGCGAGTTGTCTGGCTATAGCAATACATCAACTAAGCCATAACAGTTTTTATTGTGTGGCAAGTTGCACCATCTTGCATAAATATAAGATTTTTGACATTATTTTTAAATTTTTTTGTCAATTTTTGACATTTTTGGCTGGACATCAATCCCTCTTCTTTTAGCCTTCTACAAATGCTCCGGTCTGACACAACAGTTACAACTTCATGGATAAGCTTAGTGGCTTTTTTTTCTCTTTTCCAGGCAGATATTTTTGATTATACTGTCCGCTCTTGGTGTTTTCTTGCGTTTAGAAGGTGGTCTTTTTGGACCAAATTCTTCCCCTGTATCAATTCTTTTTCTTACTTGCATTACGGTTTGGTAAGAAACCTTTGCGGTTTGTGCAATTTTTCATTGAGAATAATTTGTATTTTGTAAAAGACATGTTTATCAATTTTTAATGTAACTATAATAATAATAACAATGTATAATTCAGGTTGTTAACCAATGGTTTATAATCAAAATTTAATATGGCTGGCGGTAAAGGTAAAGAGAAGTTTAAAGGAACAAACATTAGGTATTTACTTGTAAGTTAAGTGTAAAATTATATATTTTTAAAAAATCACAGTTCGTTTTTTTAATGCTAATTTATTTTTATAACTTTTTGATATATTTGATGTAAATTACTCAGACAATACCTTTTTCATAGAGAGCGTTTTGTCAATTAAAGTGACTGCTACAGTTGCCGAAATAAGAAAAAGAATAATGACTTTATTAAAATACGCACTCGACAGATCAAATGGTGGTGGTCGGCGCGTAAAAGGCGATTCACCCAATGTATAATATTCATACTTTTTCCTAGTTGTTCTGGAACTATTGATAATAGTTATTATTGATAAATTGATAAATATATTACTGATAAATAAAACTTTTTTTTTAAAAAAATTTTGCTTTATTTGCATTGTATATAAAGTCCGTTGAAGCAATTTAGTTATATCTGATTAATTTACGTGAAATATAATATCCTCTGCGCAAATTATTGCTTTTTTATTGTATTATTTTATTGCAATTAAAGTTGAGATAATTTTTTTGTTAATTGGATTTAACCAAAATAAAAAAAAAAAATCAACGTTGAACGTTTCAACGTCGTTCTAACGTCTTATCAACTACGTATCAATGGAATATATCACCTATTCAAAGTTGAAATATGGTTGATATATAGTCGATAAGACGTTAGATCAACGTTGAAACGACGTAATCATCGACGTTGTTTCAACGTCGTAGTTTTCGACGTCGGATTTTATTTCCAATTCAACCAAATTTCAACGTTGTTTCAACGTGGTATATGGTCGGTTTGCGACGTTGTTTCAACGTTATTTCAACGTCATTGTGCCTGCTGGGTATATATATATATATATATATATATATATATATATATATATATATATATATATATATATATATATATATATATATATATATATATATATATATATATATATATATATATATATATATATATATCACGGCTGTTTCAAACGGAGCTTAACGGCTTCTTGTTATTTTTTGAAAATATTGACTTAAGAGGTGTTACTAAAACTTTTATAACTTTTAAAATATTAAAGATAATTTTGTTTTGTAAAAAGAATAAAAACACCAATAAAATGTCTCATCTTACGATGTTTAATGCATTAGTAAAAAAACTTCTTTAAGTTTAAAAAAAACGCGACAAATGATGAAGTTGGCTGAATTCAAGAAATTTGATGTTACTTTTTATCAGAAAAAAATCAGAAAAATTTATTTCTGATAGTTATTCTCAAATATACCCATTGTTTGACTATTATAAAAACAAAAAAACCTTACTTAATTGTTTAAGGATAGCTAAAACAGACTTTATTGAGGTCTGAAAGCAAACCGCACTTTTCGCAAAGTTATGAAAAATGTAGTTAAAAGGGGGATTAGCTGTTAAAAGAGTACATTTTTAAACCTAGGAGTTCTTGTTTTAGAAACTTATTTTCCTAACCCAATAAATTCATTGCATTGCAAAATAAAGCCAGATTTTGATTTTGGAATATTTAGTCAAAACATTTAAAGCTTAAGCATTTATTTTTTTTCTGAGCATACAGTTCTAATAATATGGTGTTAAGTTGTTAATAAATAAAGACTCACCAAGTCTAATAAAATAATTCATGACCAAATTTGAGTTTAAGTTTTTGAATTAACCTCGCTTTTGGTAGTAGAATTATTTTATAGCACTTGAATCTATAGCCTCTTCTCTCAGTAAATAAAGTGTTTGAATATACAAATAGCTAATTGAAATCTTTTAAAAATTTGTTTTTATTCCCATTAAAAACTGTTTAATAATCAGTTGGTTTACTGATAGGTTCTTTAAGTTGTAAACTATCTTTGTACATCCAATTGATATCAGATTTATACTCATGCTAAACCAGAAAAACAATTGCTCCACTCAAAATTTTGATAACATTTACAAATTCTTAATTTATTGAACTAAATTTTTACACCAACTTGATATGAGATTTATATTCCATTCTTTAACCAGCGAGGAGGTATGTAGAGCAGAGGTACTGCAAAGGTAGAACTATTTTCTGGTGACAAACATCGAATGGATATTCTTTAACCTGAGCAAAGGTATTGCATAGGTATAAATAACTTCTGAAGATAGGAACAGAATGGGCACCTACCTAATATATAAAATCAATATAATAAAAAATAATATTTTAAACTAACATTACACAGATATTAGAACAGAATAAAATTATCTTATATATAAATTAAAGATCTCATATAATTTATCTTACTTGAGAATTGTTTTTTTTTTGTTGTTGTTATTTTTAATTTTTTAAATACTTTAACTCAATTTGATGACCACAAACAAGACAAAGACCTTGTCTATAAAATGAATTTTCGCCACGCTCAGAACACACAACACACTTTCTCACCTTAGAGGCTTGAAGCTTCCTATCAGCTTTGCTGTGCAATTCAAAGCGTTTTAAAACAAGATGCAGCTTCTGCTCCTGATTTCTTACTGAATGCAACTGTCTTAATTCCTTATTTACGCTATTATGCAAACACTCTCCCTCCTCTTCACTTAGCAACCCAATAGTTTCATGGAATTTTACAAATAGTGGCACATTAAAAATAAGTTCATGCATTTTTCGTGCGATACTTTCATTTGGAAAGCAAGCATGAAACTCAATAGCAAATAAATTTATATATTGATGAAGCTCAGTAATTTCAGCATCGGAAAGAAATTTTGGCCAAAAAAGAGTAGGTTGCAACTTATTAAAAACACTTAACACACGTACAAATCTATTTTTAATTGCTTCATCATCAATAACACTACAAAGTTTATAGTGGTTTCTTAATACTATTTTGCAATGATTACCTACAAATACATTACCATGGTAAGCTTGTCGCTCAACCTTCATATCTTTAAGTATAAAAGAAATTTTTTTGGAGGAATTGGAGGAGTTTAGAAAAAATTTAGAAATATTTTTATTAAAAGCTAACCAACGCGCCTGTAGATTTCCTAATAAACGTAAAGCTTCTGCTGTTTTAGAAAATTCAACGCTTTTAGCAGTCCACAATTCATTCGTTCTCACATTCTCATTATGCGACAAACGCGAAACAGCTTGACAATCTAAAGTCTTACACTCCTTCAACAATAACTTATACAGTTTTATACAGCTGAACCCTGGTATCCCAGAACATCATCGATAAAATGAAAATCTATACCTAAGAACAACCTGACTATTTTGCCTTTTAGCTTAAAATCTGACGACTGAATTCTTTTAATGTTGTTGGCAAAATGCCTGAAAACTATTCTTACGACAGTCTGAACCCTGATACATACAAAACAAGTGAACATCGTATACAGACCCTGATGATTTAGAATTGACAACTTCAAAATAGAATTTCATATACTTCCCACCCTTATCACTAGCAAAAAGGAGCCAAACTTCTTCGCCAAAACCGACATCTGAATTAAGGTGGTCGCGTACATAAAGATTATTAAAAACCTCTTCAATATAAGTTGTCAAATTCTTGACCATCAGTACAGATAATGCTTCATTCGCAGATGGATAAATTTTATTGACATGCATTGTCTGCATTTCTTGTTCTTGTCTTATCTTGGGCTCAGATGGGAGAATCCTTGCACCAAAATTACACAGAATACGTCTTAGTCTAAGGAATTCAGCCGTGGGCATCCTTAATTGGCTATGTAGCTCTACAGCATCAGAAACACTTAACTGCTTAACTAAACCCAACTTATTTGCAACAGAACAAAATATTGACTTTTCACAAGACATAGAATCACAAAACAACATAGACAAATCACTTTCTAAATCTGAACAAGTTAATAATCGAAGGAATATGCGGTAGTGGTGTAGTGGTAGAGCGCTCGCTTCATAAACGAGTGGTTCCGAGTTCGATCCCCACCACGTCCCTGGTAGTACCGCGCTCAACTCGTTTCTCCGCGCAGCGGCCTTGTTCGTCAAGGTTCGTGTTTCGGAGTTATAGAGTTGAGAGAGGGTTATAGCCACAAATAAGTAGCCTCCTCGTCTGTAGTGGCCTTCTCGGCCTTGAGGAGGTGAATTAAAATAAAAAAAAAAATATATATATATATATAAAAGCAAGTTTAGATCGTCTAGCTGCAGCATGCCTACCTAACTTAGAATAAGGTTTACCATTTCTTAACTTAACGTAAGTATATTTTTTACTATTGGTTTTTTAACTGATAAATTCTGTGGATTACTTAATTTAAACCCACAAAATAATTCAGAGGAACCAATGTTGTCGTAGTCTAAATAAGAATCAACCACAACTAAATCCTTATCGCTACTAGCAAAACATTTGCAAATTTGGCAACTGTTCTGGCTTAAATCACTAATTTTTGCAATTTTTTTTTCAATATTAATTTTTTTTAGCAATCTTACATTTTTGGCACGAGCAGATGCAAATTTACGCTGAGCTGTTTTAATTTTTTTTTTTTTTTAAGTTGGAACTGCTCCTCCTGTTTTAGTCTAATACTCATAGTCTCTAATTGAGAACTTAATGAGTTACAATGTGTGTTGAGAGCCCTATTTTTAGAATTTAAATCTGTAATTTCAGCTTCCAACTTAAATACTTGCATTTAAAATTTTTCTATTTGCTCCATATTTGTTTTATTTTCAGAAGTTAATTGATCAATTTGATTCAGTAGCTCCTGACTGTTATTTAAAGTGAAAAAGTCTTCTGCATCTGCTGATTTTTTTTTTTTGGGTGGAGCTTGTGACAGTTGCATTTTAAAAAATTCTTCGTTTTTTATAGCTTTAAAAATTTTTTTATATTTCTTTTTTTGGCGTGTAACTTTAGGCACATTTTATCAAACTCGTCATTACTAGGCATATCAAAATCAATTGGCAAAAGAAAACTCATAAAACTAAATAAATCACTTCTTATTTTAAAGACTGTCATTAAAATGGAAATGACATTGTTACTGATCTTATCTGTCCTAATTAATTGCTTAACAAAAGGAAAGTTACACCTATCTTCACAACCATTTTTCCATCCAATATGTTGTTTTAGAATTTCCCTCTCAGTTGAATACATAGTTATCAAAATAATATTGACTTATTAATCAATATAATAAAAACAAATAAAATAATATTAATTAACAAATATAGATAAAAGTGGATTTAACAACTTATCTGATATTAGTTTGATAATCCAAAGAGAAAAATTTCGCGTAACTTTGTTTACTTTATACTTCAAAAATTGACTCGCCGAACAGTTGTTTGGAGAATATTCGTTAATAAATAGTTTGGGACGTAACGCATAAAGGTTACGTCATCGCAAAAAAACGTCAACACAAATGTACGCCTAAAACTAACAAGATTAGTTGTAAAACATGACATTTTTGAAAACATATTTCATAACATAGCTAAAAGTACGTAAAATAATTTTTTTATTTTCATTTGCATAAAAGGTTAAAATTTTATTAACTTACGTCATCCATCAAAAAAATTACGTTTTGCATTTAAAAAAGATTAATTAAAAAATATAAATGCTTTAAAAACAATCTTTTTGTAAAAAAATCTCTAGGATGACGCAGGAATCTGATAGAATGGACATTTAGAGTTAAGTGTTCCAAATTTCAGCTATCAAGTACAGAGCTATGTTAGGAAATCTTAGTTGGCCCAACTCATGTTTTCCGGAAAATATGCGAAAATTAGAAAAGTAGTTCTAAATTATTAAAAATATTTTAATAATATTTATTTTTATACCAATTAATGTAAATATTTATTTAACAAAGAAAGATAGATCTTTTATATTTTTTTAATTGCAAGATGAAAGCATTTATATAAAAAAGTTACTATTAATTTAAAGTTTGTGAATTTTTATATTTTTTATGCGGAAATACTTTTTTTTTGATAAACTCATGACGTCACGCTCGTTTTTATATTGAGTGAAACAGCCGTGATATATATATATATATATATATATATATATATATATATATATATATATATATATATATATATATATATATATATATATATATATATATATATATATATATATATATATATATATATATATATATATATATATATATATATATATGTATATGTATATATATATATATATATATATATATGTATATATATATATATATATATATATATATATATATATATATATATATTTATTTATTTATATATATATTTATATTTATATATATATATATATATATTAAGTTATTAAAAAGTAGCATATTTTGTACTCTTTAGGGTGACAAATGCACTGCGATTGAGACTCGAGCTTTGTTTATGAATTTATGTTTTGTTCTTTATACACTGTGGTTGTTTGATGTTTTCTAACTATTGTTTTCAAAAAATTCATTCATCCTCTTTCTTTTTTTAACATCTGATACTTGTATTTCTTTTGTTATTATTATTACTTTTTTTTCTGTTATTTGTAATTTTTACTTGGTTATTTTTAGAGTGTTGCGCGACTTACTTTAGTGTATTTCTTTTCTTTCTGTATATTTTCTTATTTAATATTGTCATAAAAAATCTTATGAAATATTATTCGTTTTCATTTATCTTGGCCAAGATATCCGATATTGCGCCAATATTGTCAAGCAATATTACGTTAATATTGTCTTACTAATATTGGCAAACCATATTGGGCCAATATTATCTAATTATCGTTTTACTAATATTATTATGCCAATATTGGCGAAATATTATTTGCCAATATTGGCTTTTTATTCAACAGTTAATATTGGCCAATGTTGACGTTTTTACATATTGGTACCACTGATCTAAAAATAATAAATTAATATTTTGAGATCAGTGATTGGTACGCATGCGTAACCTTAAGAAATATTCATAATGTCCTTTAGTTTCCTTAAATAGGCCGGGTGAATAAAAATGAGCAATTGCTTTTACTCAGTAATTGGTCAGCTTTACGCGAATAAAAGCATAAAAAATTTGACTTAAGTTTGTATTCACATAAAGCTGAGCAATTACGAGTAAATTGCTTAACTTTACTTGAACAAAAATTTGAGCAAAACTCTAAAAGTTTATATTCACGTAAAGCTGACCAATAACTGAGTAAAAACAATAGCTCATTTTTATTCACCCGGCCTAATCCCGACGGGCATTTGTTTTTAAAAGTTGCGTTCTAAATGTGTTTTAAACGTCTTTTAAACGTTTTTTAAACATTAATGTTTAAAAGACGTTTAAAAGACATTTAAAATACATTTAGATCGTAACTTTTAAAAACAAATGCTTGTCGGGATGTGTTTAAATGTAAAAAAAAGCATCTTTTTTCACAAACAGACAATCTTCTGTTATTAATTTTTTTACAAAAAAATAAGAGTTCAAAATAAAAATTTTAATTTATGAAAAGAGAAGAAGTAGGAAAAGTATTTTTAATTCAACATTTACAGAGTCAATCAGGAGAAGAAATGTTAGTAATTTATTTTGAAACAGATTGTATCACGAGAAGAACTGGTAAGAGTAATGAAATTCTTTTATTCGACATTTACGAATTGAAACACGAGTAAAGTGGTGATTAGGAAAAATATTGTATACTTAAGTATCAAGGTTAAAATAATAAGTTAACTCTTTAATAAAAACACTTAAAGAAAATTTCATCTATAAAATGTAAGTTTTATAGTCTATTTATTTTCTTAAAGATATTCATTTAAGAAATAAACGTCATTATTGTTGTTTCTAACTGTAATGAGATTTTAATTTACGAAAAAGGTACCCCTGCTTGACACCTAATAACAATAATATATATTATCCACTTTGAATATGTACGACCAATAATATTACTCTACTGCCGATCTCAGTATTATTAGATATATATATATATATATATATATATATATATATATATATATATATATATATATATATATATATATATATATATATATATATATATATATATATATATATATATATATACATATATATATCTAATAATACTGAGATCAAATATATATATATAAATATATATATATATATATATATATACACATATATATATTTATATATATATATATATATATATATATATATATATATATATATATATATATATATATATATATATATATATATATATATATATATATATATATATATATATATACATTATATATATATATATATATATATATATATATATATATATATATATATATATATATATATATATATATATATATATATATATATATATATATATATATATATATATATATATATATATATATATATATATATATATATATATATATATATATATATATATATATATATAGTTATAGGTAATAAACAAATCAATAAGTTAAACTAGATCTGCTAGATCACATTATATTAAAAGTAGTTAAACAAGATTAAAGTAAAATTCACACAATAAGTAATGCTGAAAACAGTAAAAGCTACTTCAATGCGACTTTGAAAATGCAATAAACTTTAGTGAGGATTGACGCTTGGACATTTGCCTTGGAGAATAAAACTGATAGAGAAAGTTTTCATCTAGATATATCAAAAGCTTTCGACACATTTCACAACTATCTCCTACATCAAAAGTTAAATGCTTATAGAGTAAATGACAAACTCTACAATTGGATTTGAATGTTACCTAAGAGATCGGCAGTAGAGTAATATTATTGGTCCTACATATTCAAAGTGGATAATAGTAAATAAAGGGGTTCTCAATTTTTTACTTTTAGGATATATATTAATGATTTTTTCTGATTTGGTTTTAGATGTTGTATCTGTATTTACAGATGATACTAAGTTATACAGTTTGCTTTTTCGATAGCTCACTATGCAATAACCTGCAAAAAAGTATGGACATATTATAGCAAACTGGGCAAAACTATGAAAACTAAGTTTTAATGTAAAAAAATGTAAAAGTTTTGCCCTCAAGACCAACAAATACAAAACTCATTTATATACTCGTCGGTAAAAATCTCAATACTTCTATTAATCTTAAAAACTCTCTCGTCATTAATGGGATCTTCATTGACAGTAATTTGACTTTTATTTTGTAAGTACAAAGAATAACACCGCCAATAAAGTTGTAGTAATGATAAATAGATCATTTGTCAATCTTAATATCTTGACATTTCGTACTTTGTTTATTTTCCTTGTTCGTCCTCACCTTGATTCTTGCAGCTCTGTCTATTTTCCTAGGTTTTAAAAAGATCAACTATTTAAA